ATTGGGACCATCACTAAAGAGAACTTCACATGAATCCTCCTCCCAACCCCTTGAAGTCCCAAACTCATTACTCCCATTTTGCAGGTGAGGTCACTGAGGTTCCTAAAATGTAAGTGACCTCCCCAAAGTCAGGCAGCATTTGGACCATGTCTGAAGGACTTCTGAGCACTTGCCTTTTCTACCACCAGACCCCAAGGCCACTTCTGGGATCTAATCACGGACAAGATGCATGAGGGAAAAGTGATAGGAAGGTTTTATTCCAACTGGGGAAAATTGGGATGATGACATGGAAGAGGAGGTGGTTTTTAACTGGGCTCTTGCTTCCTGCTGGTGTTCCTCACCCCACCCCATCCCCTGCTTCTTGGCCCCAGCGTGAATGCACACACGGACACAGTGTTCATCAAGAGTGGGAGGTCTGACCAACCCCTGCTTAGAGGGATCACCCTTTCCCATCTGGTCCCTGACACCTCAGGGGGCCTGGGGCCCCTGGCTCCTAGCTGAGCTCCATGGGAGCCCGGGTGCCTGTGCACTTAGGAAGAGGAAGAAAGTAGGGTTTGAAGCTCCGTGTGGAAGAGCTAAAATTTTAGACCCCAATTCCCAATATCCCTTAGGTCCCGTGTTCACTGAGCACTCACTTTGTATGTAGTTTGCACCGTGCTAGGCCCTGGGGAGGCGGCAGTCAAAGAGGCACAGTCTTGGCCCCCATGGAGCTCACAGTTTAGTGGGCAAGGTACTATCCTACAGGGTCGCCTTGAGCACCTCTACAGTTAGGAGCTGGGAAGCTCTTCGTGGAAGCAAAAGCAGAGCGTAGCAGGAGAACCAGTCCTGGGCAGATTTCTCAAAGGCAGGGAAGTAACGTGTGGTCTGAATGATAAGTAGGCCATGGCCAGGTGCAGGGGGCAGGGGTGAGGGCTTTCCGGAGAGAGGGCCCTTTGGAAGAAGCGGGCATGCCCTACAAGGGGAACTTAAGAGCAATCAGTGCAGCTGGAGAACCAGCGGACAGGGGCTCAAAACATGAGGCAGGAGAACAGGCAGGGGCTAGATCTCGAAGGCCTTGCAGACCCTGCTACGTTGCTTGCGTTCTCCCCTGGTCCTCGTGAATGGAGGCGCTTCTCTGTCTGCTGCCGTGTCCCCAGCGTGCAAAGCAACCCCTGCGACATGGGAGACCCAAATCAATGTCTGTGGAATGAATGAGACCTCATACTCCCAGAGTTCTCCCGAGTCCCCGGAGCCTAGCATCTGCTTTTTAAAAATGTGATGAATCGTTTTCATAGAATATCAACAGAGCTTGAACTCTTTTCATGGATATTTTGGGGGAGATGTTTGTCTACATAAACCGGGGCCCTGTCACTCTTTGAAACACGACATGCAGTTGTGGGCACAGAGCACACCCACTCTGGCAGGGAACAACAGAACCGCCCCGTCTCAGGTGATGTCAGTGATCAGGAGCACAGACTTGGGATTGATCCCTTGAACAGGTGCTTACTGAGTGCCGGGCACTAAGCTAGGAGCCCCATTGGCTGCGAGTGGTCTTGGCCACTGTAACTTCCTAACTGCAGACCTCAGCTAGACAAGTTCCTCAACCCCTCCGGGTGCCCTTTTCTTTATTTACAAAATGGGAATAATAATGGTAGCTGTCCCTTAGAGTTCCCGTGCTGTTAAAATCACACACACATGCACACGCACACACACGCACACACACACATCCTGTCTAGGATATAGCTGATGATGAACAAGATGATCGATAAATAAATATTACTCATTCTTCTTCCTGTCTTCCTGTTATTAGGATTAGTTACAATTTTTTCCACACACACGTACACACAAGCTCTGAGAATCGGAATTCGCTTTCCACCAACTGTATTTAGCCAGCACCCCGCCAGCCTCCTGCATCCCTTTTCCAGGTGGGTGGATTCTGAGGCTGCAGTCTGGGTTCTGTCTGAGGTTCTGGGCCCTGTGGAACCTTCCCAGCAGCTGCCCTTCCCCTCTGTGTTGTTACCTCCCCAGAGAGCCGGTCGATGCGAAGGCCCTGGGCGCCCTCTGCTGGCAGCGGCCCTGCAGGACTCATGACCGTCCCCAGGCGGCCGCCGAAGGGCTGGATCCTGAGGGACCGTCCTCAGTCTTGCTGTCTTGCCACCCCCTGCTTCGCCCCTGCCTCCTCCCTCCCAGCCTTCACACTGGCTTGCGAACTCCCACCCCTCCGTCTTTCGCCTCCTTCTCAAGCGTTTCCTCGGGATCCTCCCTGCTTCCTGAAAGGTCAGGGTGAGAACCTTCTTCCAACAAGACGGGCATCATGAGCCAGGTCCCCCGCCATCCTGAGGTTGCCCACTGCGCTCCTCCCATTATCCATCTGGGGCCAGATTTACCCACCGAGTGAAGCCTGGCTTAACCAGAAGGCAGAGGGATAGGGGGGTGAAGGGGGCAGCTCTGTCTTTAAAAGCGGTGGCAGAGAAGGTGTGAAATGGAGACCCCCGGATGGTAAAGTGAAAAAACATAAGCGTGCTCTCAGATCCCTCTTCCCAAATGCACTCTGTGCCAGTCCAGGAAGGCGCTGCTCCCCTCAGAGCCTCCACTTCCCCATTGGCTGAGGGAAGGCACCCAGCTCCTGGCGATGGAGTGCAGCCTGGGGAAGCCCTGTGGAGAACAGAGCACCTGGTGTGGTCTGGTCGGAATGAGCAGCGGGCTCCTTCTCTCAGCTGCGGTCTGTCCGGGCTCAGCACACCCATGGGTGCTCCTGCCCTTTCGGCTTTGACAGCGCCCTGCACCTGAGCAGAGCTTTGGGGCCAGACCAGCTGGGATCTCCAGTCGCATTGTGCTTCATCTGTTCAACCTCTAAACTGAGGGTCTTAACAGCACCTACTTCACAGGGTTGGGAGGGGACGAATGTACAGTGCCTGGAACAATGCCTGGTGCATAGTAGGTGCTCAAGAAAAGGCTATTCTTATCATCACAATAATGATATTTCATTAAGGCAGACTGAACAGCTTTTATAATCCTCATCTTACTGATGAGAAAATTGAGATTTGAGTGGTCTGCTCCAGGTTATGCAGCTGGGGTGTGCTGTGGGCAGAACCGGGGCCCGGTCTTCAGAGCCTGCCCTTACCTGCCCATGAAACAGGTGCTTGGGTCTCACAGGGAAGGGTCCCAGAAGCAGCCAGCCCACCCAGTATTCCTGGTGGCTGGGCCCCACTGACTGTTCTGCATGGCTAATTTGTTTCTCCCCCCGTAGGCTGGGAAGATCTAGAGGACCAGGGGAGGATCTAGCCTCGCTGAATCCCTAGATCCAGCTCAGGGCTCCACACAGAGTGTATGTTCAGCTGACGAGGGCAGGGCTGTAGCTTTGTGGCAAGATCTGTATCCCCACCGGCCGACCTCACAAGAGAGACAGGAGGAAACGTAGTCCCTCAAACCGAGTGTGCAGTCAGCAGAACTGGGTGCAAATCCCAACACTCACCACCTCTTAACCCTGTACCACCTCTGAACTCTGAACCACATGTTTTATCATCTGCAAAAAGAATATAATCATAGCTATCTTGCTATGAAGACTAAATGAGAAAATGTATGCAAAGTGCTTAACCAGACCCTAGCAAATGATAAGGATCTGAAACTTTGTAAGAGATGATGGTGATGATGAAGATGGGGATAATGGCTCTTCCTCTGGACTCCAGGGTGCTCAGGGGTCAAGACACAGGGGAGCTGTTCACTAAATGCGTGCATCAATGGGGGGCTTCACAGGTGCCTGGGGGAGGTGCACACCGCGGAACATAGAGTACAGACAGGAAGGGACCCAGGCCCCCATAACATTTACACAGCTGTTTCTGAACGGCCCTGAGATCCAGTCTCCAAAGGCATTGCTTTGGCATTCCCTGCTTTTGTTTTCCTCTTTCTGATTTTCATTTCAAGTTTGCCTATTCCAGGGGGCACAATGTAGTGATAAATACCCACCTCCCTTTGTTCTTCTCCTTTCCCTCCTCCTCCTCTCCAGATTGTAATTAGGGTATCAAATTCTGAGGGTCTCTGAATATGAGAGAATCTCAAAAGTGAGATGTTAATATGGAGATGCCTCCAATACCATCTGTACCAATGGCTGTCCAATTCCCTGCTTGCACACTCTCAGGAACGGGAAGCTCACCACCTCTCCTGGCAGGCTGTTCTATTTGGAGGCAGGTCTGTTTTGTAAAAGATTGAAGCCTACCTCCATGTGATGCACTGTTACTACCCCACCTGCCCTAAAGACTACCATTGTTTGGGGTTCAGTCCCCTGAGGTCACCCCAAAGGACTGTCTTGGAAACAGTTCCCTGGGATGGCCCTACAGGAAAGGAATAGAGACCTCTGAAGAGATTAGGGCAGGAGAAAGAGCACTAGCCTGGGGGGAGGGGGGAGGGTTCTCGGAGAAAGTCGCTCCCCTTCTCTAGGCCTCAGTTTCCCTATCTGTAAAAGGAGGAATCTGATGCAAAAGATCCCTTAGGACCTTTCCACTTGAACACCCACTCATTCTTTCAAGCCTTCCTGCCCTTTTTCTCCAAGCACTCCATGCTCTTCTCAGTTCCCTCACATTCTGGCTCACCATTGTCATGGCTTATGCAAGGGGATGTTTAGCTGCCAAATATATAGTTTGTAGAGCATCAGACTGTGTCTTAAGCAATTGGCAGCTTTATCCCATTAAGTGTTTACAACTACCCCGAGATCTCACTTTATAGCAAGGAGACTGACGTTCTGAGTGGAGCCGGAGTTTCCTCCAGACTGCACAGCTAGGACATGGCAGGCCAGGATTCCGAGCCCTAGCCTGCCAGATTCTGGAGCCTGTCGTTAGCACCCTGTCCTCTGAGCTGGGATTCGGGGAGCCAGGGGCATGGCAGCAAGGACACACACCCACTCATGAGTCTCTCTATGCTGACGACAGGCTCACTGCCCTCCAACCCGGAACCGCCCCCCGCCCCCGCCCCGCCCCGGCAGCCTCCACGCCCTCATTTGGCAGTCTTTCTGCTCCTCTCCACAGGGAGAACAACTTCATCAAGGACTTCCCTCAGCTGGCCGATGGGCTGTTGGTGATCCCACTGCCGGTGGAGGAGCAGTGCCGGGGGGTCCTCTCGGAGCCCCTCCCGGACCTCCAGCTGCTCACTGGTAAGATACACCCGCTGGACCTCCCCCAGCTTCTCTGACCCCGCACCTGGCTTCTCCAGGTGCCTGTCAGCCCTCCGCACATTCAAGACGGGCCTCTCCAGGCCTCCTCCTTCCTGAGAGACGGAAGGCCAAAGGGACCTGCCCTCGTGGGGGCTCCTGCTATGGGCTGTGCAGAGCTAGGGGGTTCCCTGAGACTCCAGACTCTGAGCTGAGCCAGACTGACTCTCAGCAGATTTCAAAGATATTAACTGTAGTCACCATGCTGCGCATCAGACCCACAGAACTTCTTCATTCCACATAACCAGACCTTTGGACCCTTTGACCAACACCTCACCATTTCCCCTAACCCCCAGCCATTCTACTCTCTGCTTTTACGAGTTCGACCTCTTTCGATTCTACATAAAAGTAAGATCATGCAGTACTTGTCTTTCTGTGTCTGGCTTATTTCACTAGGTTTATTTTTAAATCATTCTAAAGTAAATTCACTGGACCCCTCAACAAGGAGCCTCTCTTACTTGAAAGCATTTGTTACACAGCTTGATTTTGAACATGGGGTTGGGTATTATTTTCCAATCCTGTGGGGTGGGTATTATTTTCCCTGTTTTATAGACAAGGAATCTAGACTCAGAGAAAGGACAGGACCAGCCCAAGGTCCCCTGGCACGCCTGCCAGGATGAGAACCAGGTGCCATGGCTCCAGGTCTTCTGCCCTTTCCACTTGTCTCTGTAGCTCCCCGCCCCTACCCCATTCCCCTCCCCCTCCCCCTCACAGGGAAGCTACTTTCTGTAGGCTCTCCCGAGGCTCCATATCTTCTGTCCCATCCAGGATGCCCTTCTGCTCCTCCTCATCTTCTCCCAGTTCCTCTCCTGTCCTTTGTGGAGGGATTTTCCTAAGATGTAAGGGCCCTGGTTCTGCTTTTGTGATACAGTCATTGGGTATCTCAACCACTGCTCAGGGAGAATGGTCCCCCTGACGAGTGATGGACGTCTCACCAAGAGGGAAATCGCCCCCTAGGGAGGACCCATCTACCATTTGCAAGCCCTTGGAAGCTCCACGAGCCTTTCCTGTGAAGGGGCACAAACTGGATAGAGGACCCACGTGTGTTGAGGGTCTCCCAGGGGCCATGCACCCTGCGTGTCTGAATCCACGTAACCCTGCAAGGGTTATTGTTCCCCTTGAAACAGATTTAAAAAATCATTTAATGAGTCCAAGGCCACATGACTAGTCTGTTGTCGAGTCAGGATTTAAACCCAGGGGGTCTTGACCCCAAAACTGATGCTGTATCCATGACCCTCCATCCCCTTCTTGACCTGTCCTCATTCAAAAAGGGCCCAGATGTAGATCAAATGAAATCACAGATATAAAAATGCTTTGCAGAATCTGTAAAAGCCTGTTGTGCCTTCCTTAAGTTTCATAAGATCACAGAATTTCAGAGCTGACAGGGACTGTAAAGGGCATCTAGTCTAATCCTCCTTAGCAATGAAGAAATCAGGTCTGTAATAGCCCCACTGAGTAATGAGTCCTCTTGGATACCCCAGTCACAGGGAGCTCACCACCCCTTAAAACAGATAGCACCATGGTCCATGGGGAGGTGCTGTGCTCTAATGGGAAGGACCCTGGATCTGTGTCTGATCTTTGTGTGTCCTTGAGCACTTTCTCCTCTGAGCTTCAGTTTCTTCTTCTGAAATCGGGGTATCACAATTATTTGTCAGCATTGGGTGAGTACTGGAGATTGTGGGTATAAAATGCTTGGTGCATCGTGGTTCTGTATTAGTGGTTCAAATTGTTAGGATTATTTGTTTTGATTTGAGGATCTTTGGAGGCATCCTAATAAGGAAACTGTTACATTTCTAGAATTTTAAAAAAAAGTAATTACCAGGGAAAATACCTCCCTCCATTGCAGAGCCTCATTTTACCCCTAATCTCTGGTAGAGATCTAGGATAGAGTCAGGTAAGATGGGAGTCAAGGATGAGTAAGGACTAGGGATGGGCTTATGATGGGGAATAGGATGCAGGTGAGTAGGTGAGCCAGGAAATCAGCATTTGTTGGGAGCCTATTATTATGTAACAGGCTCTGTTCTAGGCTCTGCAGGAGTGAGAATAATAAAGACCATGGCCTCGACCTCAAGAAGCTGACATTCCACGGGAGGAGCTTATATTCCAGCCTGGAATCCAGGAAGGACCAGGGATGGAGAGAAGTGAAGGGCAGAAGGCTGACCAGTTATGGGGTGTGAGGGGCAAAGATGAAGGCTTTATACATGTCTTGGTAATCAAAAGAGGTAGCATTTTTTTTTCTTTTGGATATCATGCCACCCAGTGAATGAACTGCATCCACAGCCTGCATCAGAATGCTCTGCCTCCCTCTCTTGAGGATGGGCCCCAGTTTCCAACACCCATTTCAAGCCTGCTGTGAATCAGGACGAGCACAAAGGATGGGGCAGAGGCCGCTTGGCCGCAAGTGTCTGGTTTTGCTGTGCAAACTGGTTTCTCCTCCCTGACTCAAAACAACGGCCTGTCCTTCCTCCCTGACCCGTTCTCCTTCCCTTCCAAACCTCTCCAGAGGAAGGACAGGACAGGCAGAGCAGATAAACAGAGAGGACATATGTATAACAAAACAACCTCGCTCCAGTAGACATATATTTGGAGATCATGAATATTTTACTTTAAAATGAAAGCTTCTAAAAAAATAATGTTATTCCTGAAAAGGCTAAGGAGGGGAAGAAAAAAAACAAGCTGACAGTAACGGACAACTTTAATACTGCAGTAATGTCCAGGAAGAAGTCATTTGTTCCAATGAGATTCTCATTTTCATCTTGGTATCAAATATCTCTTTAAGTGCCTCCTCACCAGGGGACAAGAGAAAAGGACAGAAAATGTGTCTGCCATTTGCAGAGGATACATAACAACAATAATATTAACTGTTGATGTGACTAGCATTTCTTTTCCATGTATTTCTTCCTGATTGTAGACAAAGAGTTTTCAATGCTTACAGCAGAAAATTTAGAAAATGCAGACGAATATAAATCAGGAAACAAGAATCTTTTATACACCCACCACTCAGAATTACCGCTTGCTAACATTGTGTTGTTTTTGTCTTTGTTTATTCTTTGTCTATACCTGTGTTTCCCAAAATGCATTCTATGGAACATGAGTTTCAGTGAACCCTCTGGAAAAATGGGATTCCTCGGTCGTAAAAGTTTGCAAAATGCTATACACTGCTACCTTCATAGAGCTTTAGAATGCATATTAATCTAGTCAAGGTGCTAAGAAATTATACAGATTTTTAAAAATCTTGTCTAACTTCATTTAACTCAGTCTTACTTGAAATGTGGGCTTTTCTGTGTGTGTGCAGGTATCTCATGAGATCCTTATGCACATCCCATGTTTCCGTGTTAGGAAACAGTGGTCCACATGGGTCAGCAAACACAAAGGGCCGGATCATAAATGTGCTAGGCCCTGCAGGCAGCCGCTCATCTCCGCGGTCATTGTGCGAAAGCCGCCATAGGGCAGTATATGCAGGATGGGCTGTGGTTTGCTGACCCCCCAGTCTGTACAGCATTGCTAGGTCACCGCAAGACTTCCATTTCTGTTGCCTTATTTGAGTATCACAATGCGCCTGTGAAGTAATGTCAGCACAGGTAGCCATGGTATCAGATGGGGAAACTGAGGCACAGAGCTGCCTAATGACCCATGGCAAGTTGCCTGCAGGGTTAAGTGGAATCCTAAATCTACTTTGGCTTGCTTGCAAGCTGTTGGGAAGAGAAAAAGGATGGGGGCTGAGATCAAAGGCCAGGAAGAGGCCTGGAGGCAGGTCCGGATAAAGCTGTTGGTTCCAGTGAGAGCCTGCATGCTAAGGCTGAGCCTCTGCCTATTTAGAAACAGTGGCCATTACTCAGAGCCCAGTTTTGGTGAGTGTTCTCTAAATGCTGGCCTCCCCTGACCTTCCCCTTCTGTCCTCCAGGGGACGTCAGGTATGACGAGGCCATGGGTTACCCTATGGTGCAGCAATGGCGGGTCCGAAGCAACCTCTATCGTGTGAAGCTCAGCACCATCACTCTCTCAGCAGGTGAGGACTGCCCCCCTCCCCGGGCAGCCAGGGGGCTTGGGGTAATTCAGCACATGTTACTGAGGACTTGGGCTGTGCCAGGCCCTGGGCTGGGGATGCTGAGGGAATGAAGCCAGGCCCTCCCTGCCATGAAGGAACTCACAGGGAGGGTGGATGGACAAGCAGACAGTGACATCCTTACATTGGGGTAAGTTCTATGCAATAGTGGGGCAGCGGTACCCCAGAGGAGGGAGCTGTCCTGAGCAGTCAGAGGGGCTTCCTGGAGGAAGGGGTATCATAGTAGTGCAGGGAAGGGTGAATAGGAGAGGGGGTAAATGACAATCTATAATGTCATAAACGACATTATACATAAATGACATTTATGTTCTATATATTTCAGGCTTGTGGATTTTAAGTTCTTGTCTCTTCTGGATGATTTCCTTTCCTACCCATCTCCTATACAGTAATAACACATATTCCTCCAACACACATACACATACAATGCCCCCGCTCCACCTGCACACACCCTGTGTGTCAGCTGATGCAGACAATTTATAATTCTCAGAATGGGACATGTTCTTTCATGCCTCTGTGACTTTGCACATGCTGTTCCCTCTGCCTGGATCTCCTTGCCCAGGGAGCACATCTTGCAGTACTGGGAGACTCCTCCTGCATCCTCCACTTCCCCCAGAATAACTCAAGGAATTCCGTGCAAGCAACTACCTATAGGGGCACCTGGGTGGCTCAGTTGGTTAAGCGTCTGCCTTCGGCTCAGGTCATGATCCCAGGGTCCTGGGATCGAGTCCCATATCGGGCTCCTTGCTCAGCGGGAAGCCTGCTTCTCCCTCTGCTCCTCCCCCTGCTCATGGTCTCTCTCTCACTCTCTCTCAAATAAATAAATAAAATCTTTAAAAAAAAAAAAAAAGCAACTACCTGTATTAAAGCACCAATGTGCTTGATTCATATCTGAGCCATGTCTGTTTCCCACACTGACCCAAGAATTGCAGGTACAGTGTGGGCCCCATCCATTTCCATATCCCTGTTTCCTATATTCCTATAGTCTCTGTAACAGAGAATCAACACAGGGTTGATACTCTTGTTTGATAAAGGAATAAAAAAATGAAAACTGAAAAATTCAGAATGAGTGAAGGACTCTGGAAAGATGGGGTTTTCTACCCTGGCTCTTACTCATAACACTGCCACTGGGTTATTGTCTGGGCGCTTCCTATGTATTTGCCAGCACTTTTCTTATCTTCTTTTTCAGGATAATTTTGTTCCTGAGCAACACAAAACTCTTTTAGCCTAGGAATCAGAGGACTTTCCATCTGGGAAGTATAAATAGTAATTACTGCTGACGTTGGCTAAGTGCTTTATAACATTTTATATCTTAGGACTTCTATCAGTCCTGCAAGGAAGACATTATTTATCCCATTTTTTTTCAGATAAGGAAACTGAGGGTCAGAGAGGTTAAGTAACTTGCCCAAGGTCACACAGCTAGTTAGTGGCCAAACAGGAGGAGAGCAGGGATTTGATTGCAGTTTTGTCTGCCTGGATAAAGAGCCACAGGTCATCTCCATGGTTATTTATTATTTAAGAGAAACAATCTCATCATTAACACTGCTGTATTAATTACCAGTTGCAGGAGTTAACAGATTGGTGGAGTTTGTCCTAATCAAACACTCATTCTTTGAGGCATGTTTCTGTTTTCCCCACCACCCACACCCTCGCACCTCACTTGTGAATCAGACTGCGATGTATCTGTTAGAACTACAGAGGTGTATCAGCTTTAATTAATCAATGATGATGCTCTTGAGAACCCCCTTGTAAATCAAATGTTGGCAAATTGGAGTTCATGTTTAATGTTGAAGGAGAGCTTGCCTGCTCTTTTACAGTTTGCTTTGATGTGGCACAGAATCCATTGCTTTCATAATAATGGCGGTTGGTGTTTCTGCCATGTCCCGGGAACTGTGCCCTTGTACCTGGTTGGGGTGGGGTGGGGAAGGATGCATGTGCACAATCAAAGACAAGTGGAATGGAGCTTCTGCTTTCAAGGTGGTGCCCACTGAAGGTGCAAAGCCTAGGTGCCCCAGGCCAAGATTGTGTGAACAGCTTCTTGGGAGAGTGGGAGTGACTTTCCAGAGCCTTAGAGCATAGGAATGACTTAGGGAAGAGGTGGAGAGGCCATTTCCAGTGAACGGTGGTGTGTATGTGTGTACGTTTTGCAGTTTGGGGGCTGTAAATGAGGAAAGGATGGTGGAGATCTCAGGTCACGTTTAGGAGACCTAAGAAGGCTGATTTGGCTGGATGTAAAGCCTAATACAGGTGGCTCATGGGAGATGCCCTTGGAGACCTGGAATACCAGGTGAGGTCGTGGGTAGACTGGTCATTGGTAGCAGGAAGGAGCTCAGGCAGGTCTTAAGGCTCTCGGAAGAACAGCTTGGTGACCTGCCTGTCAGAGCAAGGAGCACGGAGCTGTGGTTATGGAGTCATTGCTGCGCAGGCTCTGTGCTAGGCACTGAGGACCTAGGTCTCCTTGGCACAGGACTAAGAGCAGCAAGGAGGCCCTTTACACTGTCAGGAGATGGAACTACCACTCTTTCAGGGAGGTAGAGGCAGAAAGGGAAGCAGTGTTCTAGGAAGCCAAGCCAGGGATCAGATCCGAGGACATCAGGATATCTGCTGAGCCTGGGCCAGCGCAGCCCCGGGGCTCCAGCTGTGGGCAGTTCAAGCCCTGGGAACTGGGTGCAGTGGAAAATGCATATGCTTTGGAGTGAGAGCAGAAGGGGCTTGGAGGCCTAGCTCCTCTGGCTGGGAGACCAAGGAAATCATTCAGAGTCTGAGCTTTGACTTGCTCATGTACACAGTGGGGGTTGCAGCGTTGGGGCTGAGACTAAACTGGAACGAGTGGGAGAAACAGCGAGCAGTGTGCTTGGTGCCCCTTAGTTGCTCGGGACAGACGTCAGCTTTGATTTCCTGATGGTGACTTTCAGGTCCCATGACCTCGGTCAACAGGCTTGAGGCCTTCCTCTGCCGTTGGTTCCCTCTTGGCTGCAGTGTCTTGCGCGTCGACCAGAGACAGCAACCTTTTGCTGTGTGAGCGGCTGGGGGGGGGGGTCCTTCAGACAACGGCAGCCACCAGGCTGATCCTGGGGTGACACCAAATCCAGGCTGGAGAGAGCCCCCGGCCGCTTATAACTTGCCCGCCACCAGCCTCCCAAATCTGACCCTCCACATGCTTCTCCTGTGTCCAGGCTTCAACAACGTCCTCAAGATCCTGACCAGGGAGAGCAGTCGGGAGGAGCTGCTGTCCTTCATCCAGCACTACGGCTCCCACTACATTGCTGAGGCCCTCTATGGCTCCGAGCTCACCTGCATCATCCACTTCCCCAGCAAGAAGGTCCAGCAACAGCTGTGGCTCCAGTATCAGAAAGGTAAGTCCCCTCCGACAAGCTAGACCCCAGCTCGGCCGTGTCTAAGCTGTGTGGCCTTCGGCATTCCCTGCCCCTCTCTGGGCTTCGGTTTCTCCATGGATAGGATGAGGGGCTGTATGATGATACCTCGGATTCTTTCAGTTCAGGCCTTTTCTGAGACCCTAAGGTAGTGGGCTGGACTCCAACAAAACTCCTTCCTTGTACTGCAGGCTCCTTGTTTCCACCTTTCTGCCACTCACCTTGGGAGCTTCAGTCCCTTCCCACCTCAGTTTTCCCTTCCTGTGAAATGGGCGCTTAAGCAGCCATTCTTGTCCCACCTTGAAAGGGAAGCAGTAAGTGTCACAGCATTTTGAGAAAGACAGAAATATTCCATACTTGCATTATGTGTTCTAACAGGTCCGTGTATTCACATCCCCATTTCGCAGGCGGAGAAAATGAGTCTCAGTCATGCCAAGTCAAGTGCCTGTTATACACAGCTAATAAGTAGCAGGGTGAGAACTGCTTCCTGTTGTCATTGTTATTATCAATTAATTGAGAAAGGAGAGCTCTCGATGGACACAAAGGGTGGGGTGCTGCCACCTTCTTCACATGGCTCAGCCACCCCATCTCAGAAACCAAATCAACATAACTCTTAAAACCACAGAATGTGGGAGCCAGGAGAGACCTTCCTTATGAGTCTCACTGGGCTTAGCACCCCGAGTTTGCAGTTGGAGAAACTAAGGCCCAGAGGGAGGAGGAAGCTTGCTGAGTGTCACTGAGCTCCACTGGGTGGGTCCAAGACAAAGTGGGGTGCTCCATGCTCCCCATCCAGGGCTTTTCATGCTGCCCCTCCTCCCTGACTGGATGAAGCCCCCATGCACCTGCCTTTACCATATCCAGAACCTTGCCTTTTGCCCCCGGGGGCTTGCACCCCCCACCCTGGTCTCACCCCTCCCTGCCTCCTCTGTGCAGCTGTGTGGGGCACAGGTGGTTTATAGATGCAGGGGACATAATTGAGTTGTCTGGGAATAACTGTGTTTTTACGGCTGTGACAATGACGGTCTTTAAGGAAGTGCATTAAATCAATAGAAGTCTCATTGTCTTACCCTATAAATAACGTGACACATCATTAAGCAGGGCAATAAGCTTCAGGACTTTGAAGTAATACAATTAGGTTATGTTTATAAAAACCTTCGCTCACTGTGGTCACTGAACTAATTCGCCTCAGCCTGTGCTTGGGGCCCGGGACACCACTGTCATGCTAAATACGTCATCTCCATCCTCAACTGCTTCCGGGCCTTGGCCTCTTTCCCTCCAGAAAACTCCACTCCTTATGCCGTGGATGCATGGACTCTGTGGCAAGTAGGATGGGTTTGGGGGCAGAAGGAATGCCGACAGCAGCTGGGGGCCCCCTTCAAGACCCCCAGAGCCCGCGGGGTTGCCACAGACTTGTTGGGAGAACTTCGTGTGGTAGCTTTTCTCTCTGGGCTGCGTGTGTGGAGTCACATTTCTTGCTTCTGAGGTACGCTTGCTCCCAAGAAAGGCCCAGGGGTAAGCAGAGGCCACCTTAACACTTCTCGCTCTCTCCACCTGCTGTGACCTAGAGGGCACACGAAACACTGTGGTTTTATTTTTTTTAATGTGGGAGTGATGTTTGCGAGGGGGAGGCTGAGAAGCCGGGGATTTTCCCCTGAAGAACTAGAAGAACTCTGGACTCAGAGGTAGTGGGTGACCTTTCCGTCCCCAGCCATCGACTCTTGTGTCATGGGCACGTGCTGCACAAGGGTCCCCTAGGAAGCGGGTCAGGATGGGTCTGGGTTTGAAAGCAGATCTCTCTGGGGGCAGAGCTGTGGGAAGAGGAGAGAGCTCGCGCGGTGCTGGAGTGGGACAGAGAGGCTTTCAAGTCCCCCTGTCTCTCCTTCCATCCCTGCCGGGTAACCTCGGGCAAGGAACTTCTAAGTTTCTGTTTCCTCGTGTGTTAAATGGGGGATAGGAATTCCCTGGCATGGCTTTTGGGAGGACGAAATGAGATAATACAGGTAAAATGTCCAGCATGTAGTCAGCACATGAAAAATGATAGCTTGGGTTAAAGCAAAACTTGTGGGCAGCAGTTGAGGATTCTAGACCTGGCCACAGCTCCTGCTCATGGGTGACACTCCTTAATCTCCCTGTGACACACCTATGTTGCTAGAAAAGGACAAATATCCTTTCAACCTAGAGAGTGGAGGGGTGGAGGGGTTCCTGGAGACTTTGAAATCTATGTTTAGCCCCAGGTGGTGGCTTGTCCTTGACTGGAAGGACCAAAGCTGGAAGAGAAGGTCAGGAAAAGAGACCCAATAGGGCATGCGTAACAGCACTTTACAGTGTATAGTCCTGTGTGTTCTCCCACTTACCCCTTAAGGCAAAGAAGGCAAGAATCCCATTCACCCCTCATCTTAGACTGGGAAACCTGAAGCTTAGAGAAGAAAAGGGGCTTGCTGGGGAGGGTCACAGTTTATGAGGGAAAGGGATGGTGTTTGAATTCCAACCTGAGCACGGTATTCCCTGCACCCTAGATCCGGTGTCCATGGAAATTAGAAACAAATGTCCCAGCCTTTCCAGGTTTACTAATGAGGGGTCTCTTGTTCCTCCTGTGATCTGGGGCAGCCACCAGAAATCACTGGAAAGGCCAAGGGTTTGGGGCTGAATGTGCCTGATTAAAATATTCCCATGAGAGGTTTATTTTACTCTTATTCCCCTAAGTGCTTCTCAGTGTGTGTTCCACAAGAAAAAAAAAAAGAAAGAAAGTCACATTTATCATTCATTAATTCTTTAGTTCACTAATATTTCCTAAGGGCCGCTTCTCGGCAGACCTTGGGCCTGGTGCTGGGGCACCGCAGGAGACAAAATGTGGGCACTGTCCCCACGTTGTTCCTTCCCAGTCTGTCTTAGACTTCCAACACTTCACCATTTTCTTTTTAACCCACGGGTAGACAGCTGGAAAGAGGGAGGGGGTGGGCACATGGTAAGAACCTAGTCACTATCATGTGATGGCCCGTATCTATTCTTCCATGGGCCAATTCTGATCAATTAGGGAATGGCTTAGCTAGGCCACTGTATGGAGGCCATGGAGCCCATTGGCCAAGAACATTATGATCAATTGGCAACGGCTACCGTGATGCGGTGGGGGGTGGGGAAGGGGTGTCTGTGTATTGTTTTCCCTGCAGCAGGGCAGAGTGAAAGCTAAAAGAACAGACCCACCTTGTGACCCTGATTCCAGGGGGCGCTGGGCATGCCAAGCAGGACTGGAAAGATCTAGGCAGGGAGGTGGGGTTCGCTACCACCCAGTGGGTCTCAGCATTTCTCAGTTTGGAGGAGACCGGAGCACTGAACAGGCCAGTTAGATGGTGCCTGTCAGAAGCCAGGAAGACCTTGGAAGTAGCCAAAGTCATCCCTGGACCCTCCAGGCCCAGGAGTGCTTAGTGTGGAAGCTGCTTCACCCGTGAGTCTCCTCTGGCCCTCGCCTCTGCTCCCGGGCCGTGCCCCAAGCACCCCATGAAGGTTTCAGTCTCTTGCCTTCAGCTTAATACTTTCACTACATGCTGCTGTGTTCCTGATATGCGCATATTTTTAAAAAAGCTACCTTTCTCCCAATTCACTCTGACTAGATACTCACGGATACTGTCTAGCTGTGACCTTGATACACTCTTTTATCTTAATTATGATAAAAGAAGTTACCCATCCTCTGGCTACCTTGGATAAAGACTTCCCCATTTGGAGATAAAGCAGAGGTTTTGCAGTCAGATGGACTCGGGTTCAAATCCCAGCTCTACCTCTTACCAGCTGTGTGATCTTGGGCAAATTGATTCATTCTCTAGATCACTTTCCTCATATGCAAAATACAGGCTCCAATGAGAGCATAGTCCATCAGTGGACTCATCTAGCACTGAGCTGGACACCTAATGATCATCTTGATCCAACCCATTCCCTCGCACCATAGCTGCCACATCTGCTCTGGTAACTATGTTCCCAGGGGCGCACGCGCGTGTGTGTGTGTGTATGTGTATGAGAGAGAGAGACCAACTGAGGGAGGTAGGAGGAGTCAGAAAAACAGAGAGGAAGACAGGTGCATACCAGAATACACACACACACACACACACACACACGAGAGACAAAGTGTAGAAGAGAAAATGTATGTAATTAATAAGACTTTTCCAAGTTTATAGACTCGGTGACCCTGTGAAAAGACATTTTCTAGTGAAGGTTATACTGTTCTTAAGATTGGGATTGTCCATGGTAAAGAGATGTCCTCACAGATAAAATGCCTGTTGCCACCTTTAAAAGATGTTTTATCTCTATTATAATTTCCCAAGACTGTCCAAGGGAATGAATTTCTGCATTTCCATTTGAATTACAATGCACTTTTGAATGCCAGTGGCTGCATTCCTAGGCTACTCTTTAAAGGAGTTTTGGCTGTTTGAAAGGCAGCCCAGGGGTTGAGGTGGGGGGAGGAGAAGGAAAAGATAGTCAACTGTCACCTCCTTTTGTGAGGACAGTTGTGGTCAAGGGGCTGATATGGGCTGGAGAACTCTCCTGGGCTTTCAGTTTCCTGAGGGAGCTTGCTTCAAAGACAGCAACCAGACATGAAAGGAGTTGTTCTCAGAACTGAGACCTGCCTGGGTACTGGTTTACTTCTCTGTAGATTTAATCATCGGGGGGGGGGGGGGGGCAGTTTTCAGGTCCCATTTGCTTGACCTTCTGTAGCATTTGACAGAGCTGACCACTTCCTGCTAGAGGTACTTTCTGTGTTTGCTTCCATTGTCCCAGATCTTCTTTGTGAGTCACCTGCCTTCCTGCTGGCTTCTTCTCTGTCTGCTTTGAAGGCTCATGCTCTTCTACCAGCCCAGTCCATGTGGCTTCACAGGACTCTGGCCTGGGCCCCTCTTCCTGGACTGTCTTCTCTCTGTGGGGACTCTGTTACCATACCTACATTGACCACTCCCATTTTATACCTCTGCCTCCAAGCTTTCCCCTGGTATTTG